CACAACTGATGTGCGATTGTCGATTGTTTTGCTGCCTCAACTGTTAACTGCACAACTAAAAATCGTGTAGTGTGCACCTCCAAATAAACTTATAGGAATCAACACTAACCAGTCGTGCGATAGTTTAGTTTCTAGTGTGCGCACGACAAGACAAGTATAAGAATCGTTTATCATTTGTTTTGCATACGTTAATAAGGTATTGTTTAGTTTTTATGCCCGGGTCAAATAAATTAATCAGACCAAAGTTGTATGCGGTCCGGTCCGTGTTAGATCCGGATTAATGAAAATGTCCTGTTGCGAAAGGGGTTTGATTAATGCATTGAATTTAATTATTAATCGCAAACGATATCACGATGCTTTACTTTATTATACACAGATAATTCTTAAGCTAATAAAACTTGCCGTACATTTTACGTACCACTAACTTTCGCCCGCAACTCCGTTCGCATTAATTCCATGAAAAACGAAAGTGAGGTGCCTCTATGTTCTTTCAGGCTATCCTCTACATCTATACTAAATTTCATCGAAATCCGTTCAGCCGTTTAGGCTACAAACTCTAAGAAACATCCATCCATCCATCTAAACTTTCACATTTATAATATTAGTATGAACTATGAAATATGATTCCACAAGTAAAATTCTAGAACTTTACGGCATAAAAGAACATGAATACGTAGCAATCAGACGTGAATTACCCTTCTCGTGTGTGTCGAATGCATTTGGAAGTTGAAGTGTTCATTGCCAGTTACATTTAGGTTTCCACTACCGAAAAACCCTTTTTTTCTAAATGTCGCCACCGAGGGACTCTGAGCCTACCCTAAGGGGTAACTAGGCCATAATCAACCACGCTGACCAAGTGCGGGTTGGTTGACTTCACACATATCTTTGAATTTGTTCGTCGATATGTGCAGGTATCACGTTGCTTTCCTTCACCGTAAGAAATTATGTACATACGAAAATTCGAAAATCACATCGGTACGACGGGATTCGAACCCGACATTAGGGTAGTTTATTACAATTATCAGCCTTAAAAAATAGCTTAAAACAGGTGATAATTAGAAAAGTAAGCTGTCATTTAACTTAATTACTTAAAGTTGTAACATTTGGGGGTATTCGGTTCAGAAATTAAATGGCATATTCGGAACTTTAAATTGAGTTTTCCCCGTTACCGATTTGTTATACTCAACTGCGTACAGATTTTGTACGAACAAAGTGTAATGGAGTGTAATGAAATGTTCAAATGAGTTTAATTTTATTGTTATTTATTGATTTACGAACATTTACTAGTACAGTATCTGTTATTTAACTCACATATTTTTCTTCAAATATCACATACTAGCTGTTCCCATGCTTCATCCGCATGAAATTATGAAACTTTTAATTTATTCTTTACATTTGTCAAATTATCAATACCAAATGTCAAAATGACATGACATGACAACCTTGGCAATGTTGCTTTCTTGATGTTGGCAGCAACTTATGGTCTCTTTCCCACATAAGGGTTTTTATTATGAATTTATTAACTAGTTATGTTAAATAAAAAAGCCGCTGTAGAAATATCGTCCACGACGCTAGTAGAACTAGAACTGGTACTAAAAATATTCGTTTTCAATTATACTAATATTATAAATGCGATCGGTTAGATGGATGTTTGTTAGAGTTTGTAGCCTAAACTGCTGAACGGATTACGATGAAATTTGTCATAGATGTAGAGCATAGTCTGGAAGGGAATATAGTCTACTTACTTTTGTTTTCAATTCCACGCGCACGTAAAAGCTAGTATTGTAATGAATTGTATTTAAAAAATAAATGTTCGTACATGTAAAGCCAGGACGAGCCACTAGCTCTAGTATATAAAACTGAGATAACGAGTGCGGTTCAGTAAAATAATAATGAAGTAAGAAAGTGCCAAAAACTACTATAATATTTCAGCCAATCCCTGGTCTTCAAAGTATTATCTTGCTGCATCTACGGCTGTGGTCCAAGTATTAAGATATATGTTAGTACTAACTTAAACCAGAAAGTGTCAAAATTAAATGTCGATGGCTACAAAGGTAAAGGAAGACCGAACGAAGAAAATACGGATGGATTGTGTGAAAGAGGATATGCTTAAGAAAGGAGTGGATAAAGATGTATAGAAAGAGCAGCACATACTGTACCGACCCTCCGTAAGGGATAAGGGCAAGTGGATGATGACTAACTTTTGCCCACGACTCCGTCGGCGTGGATAACAATATCAAGTAGCCTCTTTGTTCTTCCAGACTATTCTCTACATTTATGGCAAATTCAATCGAAATCTATTCAACAGTTTAGGCTACACTCCATAACAAACATTCATGCATCTAAATTTTGCATTCATAGCTATGACTTTATTTTCCTTCTAACGCATCTTCTGCCTGAGATTATATCGTATCGCAAGTCAGAAGAATTAGAGTTACTAGCTGTAGCCCGCAATTCAGTACGCACGATTAAAAATTGTAGCCTATAATAGCTTATGTTCTTAGATCCGTTAAACCGTTCTTGAGATAAGTAGTAACAAACATTCATCTTAACTTTTGCATTTAGGGTCTGTTCCACCATTGCCTCAGATAGCTTAAGTGACGTCACTGTCAGATGTTACCAAAATCTAAAACTTACATTACATATTTTATACGTTGGATTATTATCTGAAAATTTACAAGCATTGTGGGGCAGGCCCATATACTTGCAAAATAAAAATAACTACTTACCTACGTTAAATATTTTTTTAGACGAACACACGAAAAGTTTATAACTTGTACCACACATCCTAGACTACGTGCTTCCAAATATAGAGCTATAAATGTTCGCTTTTCTTGAATCCTAAAATACTTTACGACGCTTTTGGCAAAATTTCAGACTCACGTCAAAAGATTGCACGGAACTCGTTATGTTTTACACAATTTTTCTTGCACTACCTACATTGTATAGATTATTATGCAAATTACTAACCACAAAACTAATAAGATGCTTTACATGCCAAATGTCATAGTACAAAGAAATAAATTCACTTCCCACTTTAGGTAAATAGATTATTGTTTTTAAATACTGTTAACATTCATCATCCACTTGCCCTTATCCCTTATGGAGGGTCGGCACAGTATGTGCTGCTCTTCCATACACCTCTATCAGCCGTCATATTTGAATCCACTCCTTTCTTAAGCATATCCTCTTTCACACAATCCATCCATACTTTCTTCGGTCTTCCTCTTACTTTGTAGCCATCCACATTCAATCGTAACACTTTCTGGTTTATGTCCCCATCATTTCGACGCATAACATGTCCATACCACCCTAACCTTTTGCTTCTCAATTTCTCCACCACTGGCGCTATTTTCACTTTCATTACCAACCGATATCGTTAGTTCTTTCATGGCGAAAACCAAATAGGCACAAAATACCACATCTTATAGCCTCCAGTCAGAAGCCAGTATTTCGACTTAAGCATTGTCAAATAACTCGATATGGGGAGGAAATTAACGTCCTAAACTGCACAGTTTTATTTTCTTATTCAACCTTTTATTTCCAAAGACACATTTACGTATGTTGCGTAATTTCTTTTAAATATTATATGCATAGAAGTATTTTTTAAGTAATTTTAAATTAATACAGGTCAAGTTATTAAGTTAAAGATGTACATACAATTTTCTTATAAAGATTTTTATATCAATTTTAACATTAACAGCATTTCTATGCTAAAACTGCTATACAAAAATGTTCTTCTGTTTTTTCCAGAAATTGCAGTATATTTTAGTGCAAACGCTTTTGTTCTTTTCTACAAGTATAATCACGTAAAAATGTATAAAAGTATGTGATTTCTGCCTATCTCTTTTAGCTACAATATCTAGAAAAAAAAACTGTCATATTGCGGAATAATATGTGTGCCGTACAAACGGGTTCGGGTCCCGCGGCACAACCTACCCTTGAACTACGATTGCACCGGAGGGCATAATATTGTAAAC